AAAAAAAACCATCTGCAAATGTGGCTTGATGAAATCGCAGATGGGTTTAATCCATCTGCGATTTTAGTGGCTAAAATTGCAATTTTGATTTTTTTTTGTACTTTCCACAAAATAATTTTTGGCTAAATTTGCACTCTAAAAAAAATAAACTCTTAATAAGCTTAAACAAACACCCCCTAATTCATCTGTAAATTGGAAAAAAAATTACAAGCAACAATCGTGTTATCCATTGTCGCTCATCATCTAGACGCCTCTGCAACTAGTGAGGTAAATCGTTAGATTCAATATTTTTTTCATTTGATTTTTGTCAATTGTCGCTTTACTCCTTCCTCGCATGATTCCTGCATCAATTTTCGACTTGCACGCGGCCTGTTTGACAGGCTGTTGGAACTTTATATATATAAAGGAATTGCAAGTTGGCAATTTCCTTTGTATCCCACATTGGTGGGGGGAAGAAACTTTTGTGGGTTTATAAGTTTATTCCCTTGATAGACCTTCAAAGGCTTTAGTGGATCAAAAGAATGGGCCAAGCCCGCCAGTGCCTAGCCTAGCCTAGCCTAGCACTAGCCGACGCCGCGATTTAGGCGCACTTGGCACGACGCATCGGTCGCTGGGAGCTGAGGAGCTTTCATTTTTGGCGAGTTCGGGTCAAGTCGGTTTGACCGACCCAATCAAACGGTTGACCAGAGTTGACTTCGTGGATAAGGTGACAGAATATTCTACAAGGCTTAGAAAACGGCTTGCTTGGAAAGCAAGTCGTCATCCTAGGGTTTTCTGGGGCCGGCCTATGGGGGCCCGTTTCATGCCTTTTAGGGTTTCGATACCTATAAATATTGCTCCCTAGGAGCCATTTGACACACTCACGAAAATCAAAAGCTCTCTCCACTCTCTGTGTTTTTTTCTGGTTTCCGAGTATTCGCTTTGTGTTTGTCAATTTCCAGTGCTGTTGGAAGATCGATAGATCTGCATTAAATCATGGGGTTTTACTCTGTTGCTTACGGCCAGTAGAAGCGAAGTAAAAACCTTTAAGGACAGGAGTCCGATCCGTGCAGTTATTTGAAGTTCAAGATCACCCATCAACAGATCGGTTTTACTTTTTTGTCTTGCATTTAATTTCGTCCAACAACAGGACAGTCTTCTTTTTCCTTTCTTATAATCAGATCTAATCGTGAAGGATTGATATGGTTTTGGACGAAACTTGGTAAATATAATAATAATAATAATTGGATCTATTATTCGCAACTAATTGACATATAATTCTCAATATTATTTGTCGGTTTCCTTGCACGTCTATTGGTTTGATATTTTCAACACAGACTTCCAAAGAGACGACCTTTAGACGCTTGAGAGCCTACCATCTACAGGTTGGGAGATGCTTAATTTATGTCTTACTTTTTCTATTTTTAAAGTTTGTGGAGATGAGTGAGGGATATGAAGATAATCAAAATGTTGGTGAACATCATTCCTCTTTCTGATCAGAGCTCTTTTTCATTTGTCCGATTTCTGGGTGAAGTATTAACCTATACACCAGATGATTGAATATATTACTTAACTCTAGAAGTTGAAGTGAGCGTAGATTACTTACATCAACCCACTAGAAAAAGAACCGGTATGCTCATCACTCTCTCATTCATGTTTTAATTATGTTTCTGATACACGTCACAAATTTCCCACGTTCAAAATTTAGAATGGTAATTTTAGAAGTGTTTCCGTTTTATTTGGATTTCAATTATATATTATAGTATTGGATGCTTTAACTCATGTATCTGGTTACCTGTTTTTCTCCATGCTCTTCTTTCTGAAAGTTCATTTTCAATTAAGATACACCAAGTAAAGGTTTGATTATATATTTCTTTATGATAGTGTGGTTTATGGTTTCCAAATTCTCAGCAAATTTCTTAAAAAAAAGTATTATTATTCATGTAAGATTATTCTTTTCTCCTAAATAAATGTTACCTATATTATTTTACAGAAACGCATAACACAAATGATAATTCGTGCTGTTACCTTCCCATTTTTTGGTCATTTTTGTGATTAGCTCCATAAAATATTACCAGAGTTCAATTTATTTTCTTTATTTCATATATATCCCTTTTCATGCTTATGGGCAGTGAAAACTTGCTAAGGAGCTAGCACAGGTATAACACCAGTTACCTTTGGATAGTTAAAGGAGCAATATAATTATTTTATCTTTAAAAAAAAGCGTTTATAAAAAGCACACATATCAGCACCACATAGGCAACAAAAGAGTCTATTTTATTTCTTTTTTGTTGTAACCTGGTAGTATCATTTTCAATCCATGTCAACCAATCAACGTGCTAATTCTTTTGAACAAATGACTACTTACAGCATTCAAAATAGCCAATAAGAGCAAAGAATACAACCAAACAACAATCAAATCCTATACAGCATTCATTATCCGCTCTTTCAATTTCATCCTACCAGTGCAGGCTCTGGTTGCTCAGCTTCGTCTTCGTTTTCCCTGTAAGAGCAAATGTTTATATCAGATGCAAATAACTTTCATTAATTATCTTACAAAAGTTATTCAGATACAAATCCAAAGTTTAATCTTTCCTACAAAAATAGATTTTGTTTTTTGAAGCTTGCACCAACTTCTTCAGTTTTAAGTATTGAAGTCAGATATATGCCAACTAAACATGAGTAAGGAACATGTGCACATCAGTGTAGTAAAATCAGTTTAAGAAATCTATGACTCGCTTTTACATGTGACTCGGTCAAAAAATCGGGAGTCGCGGCTTGACCATATTTTTATATGTTTTTTCACTCAAGTCATCATCAATCTTGTAAGACCATCTAGTCTACTGAAATCTAATATATGTGAGAACTTAAGTCCAACATAACCATAATATTCAAATGGTTTTTTAAAGTTAGAGATAAACAAGTTTGGAAAATAGCAAGCCTTATAATAAATAGAGCAACTAACCTGCCCCACTCCAGCTGGAGAACACCTGAACCTTGCCCTTGCCCTTGCTTTTGTCCTTGCCCTTGCTTTTGCTTTTGCCCTTGTCCTCGCCCTCTCTCACTTATACTTCTCTTCAGCTTCATTCTGCAAAGAGAGACCATTTCTAACAACTGCAAAACTTCGGGATCTACAGTGACCCCAAGCCCTTCAGCATACGCAGTATACTCCTTCAATTTAGTATGATTGTATTCTTTTTTAGAAAAAAATCTATCTTCTGCTTAACCCATTTTTTAAGTAAATCTTTATCTGTAGAATTCAGAGACTCAATCTTATTGACTGCTATCGCTTGCTTCTCAAAAATTCTCACACTAGCAACCAATGCAGCATCATTGGAAGCTGCATTTGGGTCCTTCTCCTTTTGCAAAGCCATGCATGCTTTGCCTAAATCACCATCACTCATCATGACATATGCACCTGCAGGCTGCAATGAGCCCTTCAAAGCATTAACCTTCTGGATTGCAAGGTGTTTGTTTTTGTCAGACATATAGTCTTTCACTTTATCATTTAGCTCTGAAAGCTGTTTCTTAAATGCACACAGACAAGCAGCATCAGCCCAGGACAATTCGAAACCGGCCGTTTTCTCTACAAATCTTTTCCTATCGACTTTATGAAGGAAAGCCTTCCCTTCTTCTTTATTAAGCCAATCTAAGAATCCGGAAAACAGAACATCGTTGCACTGAGATGCATCGAGCCACAGCAGATCGTCAGTGGCCTTCCTCAATATCTCATTCAGGCTCTTGTCATCTAACTGTGTAAGATTTTTGGCAGTTGCAACAAATGTTGTCATCTTTAGACCAGCGGCTGCAACTCCCTCTTCTGTCCAAGTGCCTATATTAAAACCCTTATCTCTTAATTTTTTCAATGCAGCAAGAGCTTCTAGATTCAAACGCGTCATTATCTGCGTTAAACCAAAAGAAAAAGATCAGAATAAAACCAAGTTCTTAAGAGAAAGACTCTTAAGACTTTGTTTTTCACAAGGTCTGAGTTGAAAACGGAAAGAGACACATATCATGTAACAGTAACATGTTGGGGTTTCAGGTTTTGAAACCAAGTACTAAAATAAACCAGAAACTCATTAACAATTGCAAGAACTTGCAAGAACGAATGAAATAATAGAGTCCAATAATCATATTTACAAAAACCAACACCAAACAATAAGATGCATTTGGGTTTTCAGGTTTTGAAAAAAGGTATTAAGATAAACCAAAAAAAAAACAAAAAGGTATTAAGATAAACCAAAAAAAAAACTCGTTAGAACTTGCAAGAACTTATGAAAGAGAAGAGTACAGAACTTGCAAGAAAGTATGAAAGAGTAGATTACTGTGATCATATTACAAAAGCAAACATGCAGATTTAGAAATAAACAACAATCAACATACGATTATGATGCAACAGGGGTTTCAGATATACCACAAACTCGTTATCATTAGAACACGGTAAATTGGTTTTTAAAAAAATCAATTGCAAGAACGATAGAAATATTATAATACGGTAACAAACCACATGCAAGGGATTAAAACCCTAGGAAAACGAAGATCGACTTACAATGACGAAGTAGATCGACGATCGAAAAATAATCGCAACCTCAAAACTCGGGAGAAGACGATCGGTAGAAAAATGCGACGAAATGTGTCACAGAATGAGGATCTTCAAGAATTCGTGAAGACGATCAATCGTACAGAAGATGTTGGGGTTTTAACGAAACGAAATGCGACGAAATGTCACAACAGAATGAGCATCTTCAAAGAACTCGCGAAGAACGATCGATCGTACAGAAGATAGTATTTATAATCAAGCGTGTAGCTCTAGCTCCTTCAGTCCTTCCTTCGAGGAACCCAGATTTTTCGATAGACCCTCAACACTCTGTATACTCCCAATATTCTGCACTAAATATAAATTATACAATTAAATATAAATATAAATTATACTATTAAACAAAAACCTAGATGATTGAAATTACAAAACTAAGGTTGAAAATATAAGGATGCTTAATCTTTTACCACCTAGAATACGGGCGTAACCAAAATAAAGAACTAAAATAATTCGAATGATAGCTAAACTGTTCTAAATCTCTATAATTTTAGTTTTAAACTATAATAGTTTTTATTAAAAGTTGGATCATTAATCAAAAACATGTCTTGTAACCTGAAAAATATAAATTTTGAGACCTGTTTCCTTTTAATCCAATTCTAAATTTTTGAGATTTTTCTGAAAGAAAAAAATAGGTTATCGTAATACCTTTTTTACCCTTATCATGATTTATAGACACAAATTCACTCGGTGATATTTTTGTTTTGGGAAAAACCTTTGCAACAGGATAAAATGCAAGAAATAGCAACCTACTTTCATTTATTTGTTTAATATTAAGTGTACAACATCCTACTTTTATTTCTTTCTGTTACAGCAATATACTTCCATTTTTTTCTTATTAGGATATTACATTTTGCAAATTCTACCCAGTTATAGCATTGTACTTTTCAAAAAAAAATCCATAATAGAAAGAAATGAAAATAGGGTGCTATAATAAACAAATCAATGAAAGTATGTTGCTATTTCTTGCGTTTGACCCAAAGATTAAGCATAATTGAACTGAAATATTAGGAAGCATACCTCTGGTGTTGCACTATATGCTTTCCAGAGTCGCATATCATGGTGAAACAAATCAATGAGAACCTATACCAAAATCACATAGAACATGTATAAACAAACTATCTTCTCTAAAAACAATCCTAATTTACATGAATCTGATAACCATATTGGACAACTAGATAAGGATTGTAGAAAAAATGATTACCGAGATAAATGTAGAATTACTCAATTGTCCCTAACTTGAGTTCGATAACAACTGAAGGGCATTCTTTATATATATATATATATATATATACCTCATATCGCCTTAAAAGAGTCGCCAAAACTACAATCCACTCTTTAAATTTGACCGAGCACATATGAGACAAGAGAAATTCTGCATCCAACCGACTTTGCAAGGTTCCCATTTGAAGCTGAAAATAATAAACAAATTTTGTAAATGCAAAAAAAAATAAAAAAACAAATGATATAAGAGCGAGTCCATGTCCCACCTTTTTGGGTGGGAGATGTCATCCACTAAGTAACAAACGGGCCCTTAGGGTCAAAGTCATCAAATATGGAGTGGTGATAAGAAATTGATCTATTGTAATAAATGTAAAATTACCTAACTACCCCAAACTTAAATCAACTGATTATTTGATTATGAGTCTTAAGAAGTTTATGTAAGAAAAGGAATACCTTCTGGCTTATCAATTCGAGTCCAGAAGCAAAATTCTCCAAGCGAGCACTTCCATTGTAAATATTCCTGTAGGTAGAATTTATGGTTATATAACGAGCAAATTGCAGAAAATAGCAACATACTTTGCACTTTCGACCAATATAGGCAATTGACTTTACTTTTTTACCCATAATAGCAGTATACTTGCATTTATTTACCCATAATAGCATCGTACTTAAAACTCTTTACACAAGATAGCAGCATACTTAAATTTCTTTATTCGTAATAACAGTAAGTAACAAATAAAGTACAATGATCATATTGGTAGTAAAATGCAAGTACATTGCTAGTATCGATTATGAAAGAGCTGCTCTTACCACTAGATCAAACTGGGCTCCTTTCACAAACACAACAAGCTTGGAGAGTTCTTTCCCAGACATCAAGTAGCTAGCGTCTAGAATATTCTTTACAGAAGTAACATGTGCATTCTGCTCTTTGAATGAAAAAGGTAAACCGATTAATACCATTTAACAGCAACGTGAATCACATGCAAACTAGAGAACAATTACCTTCTTGCCTCTGCAGACTGTTTCCTATAACTAGAGGGAAAAAGAAAAAAATATCCTACAAATCTTGTAGATAATTTATCCGAATCTGTTGGCGTTGTAGGTTCATATTGCAACATTAAAGTATTGACCATATTACCCTTGACACATTTACGCACCAACTCCCCAGCAAGCTTGTATAAAGATTCATCCAGTGTTGCCTGTAACAACCGTAAAGCACAATATCGACTCACAGGTGCCCCTTCAAGCCTTGCAATAACCTTCATTCACCCACACAAGTCAGCAAAATAAATCAAACTTAAAGCATCATTAACCACAGAAGTCAAACATTAGTCAAACCTAATCATGTACAGGCATATAGCAAGCTCCAGTCTGATACCATCTCCTTTCGAAACATTCTTCAAACAAGCTGGATTACAGTATAAGCAACAAACAACATATTAATTAAGGCATATTGTGGAGAATAGCAATGTAGTTTACCCTATCTACCAATATAGGCAATGTACTTATATTTCTTTGTCGATAATAGCAATGTATTTTATTTTCGCCTATAACAGCAATCTACTTACATTTTATATATCTACCAATATAGGCAATGTACTTTATTTCCTATATCTACCAATATAGGAAATTGTAAGTACATTGCTATTATGTGTAAAGAAAATGTAAGTACGTGAGTACCTCGATATTGTGAGACAGAAATTAGTAAAAAAAATGTAAGCATGTTGTTATTATAAAAAAATAAATGTAAATATATTGCTAGTGTGGAAAAATAATAAGGTACATTGTCTAAATTGGTAAAAAGAATAAAGTACATTGCTATTTCCTGTAACTTGACCTATTAATTAAAAGGTCAATTCACAAGTAAAAAAAAAAAAAAAAAAAAAAAAAAAAAAAGAACTTACTCTGTTGATCTACCAGCAGCAGAAAACAAGTCTGCCCAATGTCAACCACCGACTGATTTCTGTTTGCATTTTGGCTGTCAACAAAGTTTCAATAAAATGTGAGATACTTTAAAACAGAAAAGAAACAATGTTAGAAATACCTGGAAATTTCAGCTTCAAAAACAGTAAAAAGAAGCCACTCTAAGCAATGTGAAAAATGAGGCTTCTCCTCTGATAATCGAAACAGTTGTAAAGCTTCTTCACTTTTATCTCTCTGAACAAGAACAAGACCAACAATTTATAAGCCGGTTTTATAGAACTTTACCATTATTTTTACAGTAGTATGATCCATTTTAGTAATACTATAGAGGCTTAAGATCCATGGAAAACCCATTTTTTCGTGAGTACTAATATGGACCATTGATTCAACAAGGGCATGGTTGTTATATGCTTTGATTGGACTTTTTTTTGTAACTAATCATTCCCATGCAACGTGTCAACTTGTGATTGGTGAGTTTTTTATTCCAACAAAACTTATTGGGTAAAAAAAATGACTTTATTTTCTATTAAAAAAACTAAATAAGCCGAAATTCCTATTTTTTTATTCTCTAAAGCTAGAGACCAATCATGACATATTTTTACAATTCCAATAATTCGAATCATGAATCACAACTAACATTATAATTCAAATAACGAGTTTTGGAAAACAAAAATGAAAATATGTCATGATTGGTCTTTGTTTGTGGAGAAAAGTACAAATTTTGATGTATTTAGTTTTTTCTAACAAAAATAAATTCCCGTGTATATGTCAAATAAGTTTTGCTGGAAAAAAAAATAGCCAACCATCATGTGACGTGTGGCATTGGTTAGTAAATTAGGGGATTATCTTTTGCCAAAAATACCCTCGATATTACCTTACATGAAAACCCATTTTTTGAGACAATTACAAGATTGACACTGCCATTTTCGATTTTTTTTTTGTCCATTGATTTGATCAAATCAATGGATCAGATTAGTCCTCGCAATTCTTAGGGAAAAAAATGGGTTCTCACTTGATCCTTCTTCCTATTATTATATATTAATTAGCAGCAAGGAGCACCTGAAGAAGGTGGTGAAGTAGGCAATGTAGTATAGTTTGAGTTTGAGGGGATGGCTCAAAACATGGAAACTCATGCATGCTGAAAATGTAATTCCAACTACAATTCCCACATTTGGAAGCAAATCAAGTGGATACACTTCACGATCAAATTCAAGCTCAGGATCAAGCTACAACAATTTTACAATATGATTATATTTTGTCAGAAAAAAAAATCATTAATCTGTGCTTACCTGTCAGAATTCTTCATGTTTATAGGGGTCCGCACCTGAAGATGGATACCAACCCTGTAACCAGAAATCATGTCATATATACAATAAGGACAAAGTGGTAAATTTATAGAATTTTGTAAGATTCGAAAACTATCTATCACCTGCATTCCACGATGGCCATAATCTAACCATGAAACTTCTTCAATCAAATTTGTTTTATCTACTGATCTTCCACATGTAACCCAAAACAGTTCTATAGACTCTGTAAGCTCCATTTCACGACCATCAATTAGATCAAGTAATGACAGCTCCCCATTCGCCCTTAGTATCAAACATCTGCAATGAAAAAAGAAAAACAATAATTAATAACTAATGCTTTAATATACACAGCATTACCATTTATATGGTTTACTTAGAAGCAAAACCTAATGGGTTCTTTTTCTGATGATGATGCATCTTTAATGGAGCCATCACTTTCTGGTTGATCGGGCATAAAACGCACTGCAGCAGGGTGGCACTTTGCAGTCATGATGGATAGCTCTCGTACTGTAGAAAGATGTTTGTCATTTTATCACTTAAAAATACAGGAAGAAACTTAAAAAGACTAAAGTAACCCTCAATCAATGGTGCGCCAAATAAAATCAGTTCACAAACATAATCCATTTACCTGTAAAATAGGGGTACTGGAAGGAGTCAAGTCTCCAGATAACTTCACATGAAATATATGGACATCAAACAGGTGGTAAGTCACAAGTAAATAGGCATTATAGACATCCATCACCAAGGGTTTTGCAAGCAATGGTTTTTGATACAGAAGTGAGCTCTGATCAAGATGGTATCTTGGGTAGAATAGCAACTCATACCTGCAAAAAAGTTGATAAATAATTGTTATTTACGGATTTACCAATTAAACATGAGCCACAATAAGGAGTTTTTTCTTTTTTTCTCTCTCTCATTAGGTCTGGTATGGATAAAGTGGCTTGATGGATAATGATGTATATCTGGATATAATGTTGTATACATAAAGATTGTTTTTTTTTTCCGGACTGAATAAACTACCTGAATCTGAGTAAGAGACCACTTTACCCTTCTATTTAGAGATGATAAATTATTAAACAAATCAAACAATTTAACAGTTTATACCAACTATCAAACAAATCTTTTCCTAATCAAATAAAAAATGTAAACCCAAAACTAAACAAGAAAGTAATATAAACCTAAAAATTCTAAACCAATTTCACAAATCCTAACCTAATCAAATCGAAAATGTAAACCTAAACCTAAACAAAACCATAAAAAAGATCTAAACCAGTTTCACAATGTTATGAACTGGACTTATAAGAACAGATTCAATAACTTAAGAAAGCAACCAACAGCTTCAAATATCGATTGATAACCTCAATTATACCCAAAAGATTACAAAAACAAATGATAGGTTAGCTGATTCAAGATAGCTACTCTCCCATGGAATAAATTCCTGATTTCACAAAGAGATTCATACCTCACTCCCCATTCTCACTACCCTTTTATACTATCTGACCTAACAAACTAAATAATATAAAATACCTAAATTGCCCCTGAACTATTAAGATTCTCTTTATTTATTGAATTTCCCATATTGCCTAGCATATGTGACATAAGTTAGTGCATAACACACAAGTCCAAACCTACAAAAAAGGTAAACCCTTAAAATTTAAATAAAAGGAAAAAACAATATGGATCTAAATGAAGGTCTTCAATTTATGAAATACCGATTAAAGTGGTCACTGAGCTTTCTCGTGTTTTTTATATGTACCATACTTGTTATGCAAATCTCGTTCAATCTTAAGTCTGAATCCATAAGGAGGCGGAGGGAGAAAAGGGCAAAAAGTAACAAATAGTGTATGTATGCATTACGCCAGATGTTTTTGCTTAAACCATTAAGCCATTCTGTCCAGATTGAGTTAAAATGAAACAACCATGTACAGTTGTCCAGATTAACTCCTTACCTTAACCCATTAGTCAAAAAGAAACAGCCCCTAAGAATCTAACTGTGCATAAATTGCTCACATGTCGGATGTATCGATGTTGTTGCAAATAACAGCAATCTTCCCCATCCATAACAAGCCTGTAAATTGAATCTTTTGTTCTTGAGTCACATCCCCAAAAAAACTCCATCTATTTAATCGAATGTCATATAAAATCAACCCATGAAGACCAGAAACTGCCAAATATATCCCACCCTCACTGGCTGCCACATGAAGAACAGGCCAATTTTGGGAAATATAAGAAACCGGAAGATTAAGATGCATTAACTTGAGTTCATCTGTATCTTGGACAACAAGTCACCGATCTTCACCATAGATAACTTATCTAACATGGGTTTTACCCGAAACCCCTCTGTTAAGGCAACATTTCCCAAAAGAAAATGCAAGTATTCTCTCTGAAGAACCTTCTTCAACAGCATAAAGTCTACAACCGTATTCATCCCACTGCATAACTGAGGTCCTACTCATTAAAGGTTCATAATTTCCATCTGGGTTTTGCTTTACCCCTGGAGATGACACAGAATTTAAACCAATTTGACGGATTGTAGACATCAAACAGCAACCAGAAATTGACCAAACTGTAAGTCCTCTTAATTTCCATCTAACTGCAAAAGCAGAACTATCTGGTGTCCATGAAATAGAACTAACCGCACCAGTATCATCCATTAAATATCTACAGAAACAAACATGGGTAAACAGTCATTCATTACAAACTTCAAAGATGAATTCCAGGATATAATTACAATTTACTAACTTACCCCCAGTCATGTAAAGAAACAGAACGAATAAGTGAAATGGGTTCGCTAATTTCATACAACTCTATGACACCTCTTCTGGTGCCAACAGCAAGGATTTGCTGATCTGGCGAAATGGATGCACATACTGCATCACCAGAACCTAACCGATACTCAGGTTTGACCGAGTCAGCTTGCTTTAGACCTCTTTTACTTATAGAACATAGCACCAAATGTCCATCAGAGAAGAGAACAAATAACAGCCTTAGTGGTAATGAAAACTCCAAATAAGTGATGGCTGATTTCCTAGAAAGAGAATGACTGGATGATACAACACCGTTAGACAATTTTGTATGACCATTTCCAGTGTTCAATTGGAAGTCAAGATCCAAGGCCCCATAGAACTCACCCTTCCAAGACATTATACAAACTTCCATTTGAAAGTCCAACCAACAAGTTTTTTCTGTCACAAATGATATTGCTCATCATCAAGTCCTTCCCTGAAAAGGGGACTTCCTCATTCATAAATAGAGAAATATTTGTAAGAGACAAACTGGATTGTTGGTTTCCTCCTATGTATATTTTTTCTCCATATACTGGACTTTATAAATGTGAATATAAAATGAAGATGTCTGCAAGCAAAGGAAACAATATAAAAGTTACATATTTTCTACACTTGATATCATTGATTGTAAGCAGAGATTTCACTTGATGAGCAACAAAACTATTCAAATATGATGTTCACAAAGTTATAGAAAAACACCAACAATGACAAAAAGCCATTTAGCCAATCCATACTTACAAGAACAGCAATTAATTTGGTGGTATCAGGGCTCCGGATAGCCTGCACATTCTCCCCCTCTCTTGCTATTGAATCCGGATCTCACTTGTACTTCCCTAATCTCACCCTATGCTGCACCAGATAAAGATCAAAACCAAAAATTAATGCTCATAATTATCAATTTCTTGAATCAGATTTATCATTTTCGCTTAAATTTCATCAGAGCTTTTGGTAAAAGCAATTGGCAAACTACTTAAATCTATGACCTAATAAAGCATTGCATCCACTCGTTTCATATATCAAGTGCATCAATCTCGCACTGTGTCTAGTAAAAAACGACTGAGCACAACTCAAATTGTGATCAAATTGTGAACTAATGATGTAATTTCAAAAATTATGCATGTAGAGAATTAGACCTGAGCTCCATAGCTCAAAATGAGAAAGGGCAAACAAGTAGCAATAAACGATCAACAACTTAAAGGTATATGATCTGCTGCGAAGTTGGACATATCCCTGATTCCAGAGGGATCATCTGAGGCCATCCGTACGCCATATACATCCTCGCTTCTGATTGTAAGTATGATTATATCAAAATTTGAGTTGGTTTACAGATGATTAAAGGGATTGACATGCTAAGGTTTTACGAGGAAATCAGATATCATATGGTAGAGACGGAGATGACGACCATGATTCAGGAGAAATAAAGTGTGTGTGGATCTGAGATTTTGAAAATGAGAAAATCGGAATGAAACGAACTTTGAACTTCTTTTGTGGTCAAATCGAAACTTTTATAGTACAAGGACTAAATTGTAACAATCTAAAACATTGTGGTGGCTTGACATTTATTTATGACTTGATTGTACCAGTGTACGAGGGCTAATTTATGCATTCTTGCACTAATGAAGCGGCTCAACTATTACCGATTTTGTGTCGCTTTATAAACCGGAATGAACCGGCCGGTTTTTAGAAAAAACCCTGTTGAACCGGTTAAACCAAATAAAAACACATAAAAAAAACAATTTACATAATAAACTTTTGTGATTTTTTTTCAAATATATTTAGTTTTTCTCTAAATAAAAACAAATGATAAATGTTATAAAGTTTTTTTATGTGTTTGTATTAATCTAAGACTATACTTTGTTTCGGTATTACATTTTATTTTCTTTTTGACGTATATGGATTGATGTAAAACACTAAAATTATGGTTATGTGTTATTTTAATGTATTTGGATTCATCTGCAACTTATTTTTATGTGTATTTTTAATGTTTGAACTTGTAAGCATCAAATTTATGTTTTATATATGTATGTATGTGGAGAAAAATAGGAAAAACCATGAAAAATATTGAAATCGGTTGACCCGGCGGTCGGACCGGTTGGACCAGTTGAACCGGAAACCATACCGGTTCAACTAAAAAACCGTTTTTTAAAATATTGGGTGTATTTCATATGTAACAAAATTGGTTTTTAAAAGTGTTGACTGGAAAATGTCTGTCTGGATAAGAAATCCTGACTGAATAAGAAATCATGTTGTTTGATTGTACATCTGACTGATGAAAAATAACCATTTTACCTTGCTGTTATATATAGCGATGCATGAAGTTGCTGAATAATTATAAAAACATACATATTGTCATACAAAATATAAATTACACACAAGTTATTTAAAAATCTAAATAAAAATTGTCATACAAAATGTAAATTAAACATAAATCATTTAATATCAAAATAAAAACATAATGAAATTTAAAATAACATAATAATTTAATGTAAAGTATGTGAAAGTAGTTGATTTGCAATCTGATCATGCAAAACACGCATATATTGAATGGCTTCTGGACCCCATTTTATGTGTTGTATATTTTCTCTATTAATTCCCCCACCTTGGACGACAGGGGTAACCATAGTGTTCTCCTCAAAATTTGTAAACAAGTCATCTTCTATATTGTATTTCCTTATAAAATTATGGACCGCGGCACAAGCAATGACTATGTCTCTTTGCACTGTAAAAAAGATAAGGAGCCATTTGTTTTAAGATTGGGAATCTCGCCTTCAATACACCATAAGCACGCTCAATAACATTTTTAAGTTGTGTGTGAGCATAATTGAACCTTTCTTCTCTAGTTAAAGGTCAGCCTCTTCGAAAATCGGCTAACCAATACTTAGTATTGCGGTATGGAGCCATAAACCCACGAGTGTTTATATATGCGGCATCACAAAGGTAATATTTATCGAGTGTGACACATATTATATAAACAAGATAGATAATAAAGGTTATATAAAGATTACAAACCTGGTGGAGGAAATGGAAATCCAGAAGTCGAATTGAATGCAACTTCTTTCAAAACTCTTGAATCATGTGCTATACCCTCCCATCCAGCCCAAACAAAGCTGAATATCATATCAAATCACAAATTCCCATTACATTTTGAAAACATTCTCCTTTTCCTCTTCCCCTATAATGAGTTTGTTGATCAACGGGTACAACCGCATGTACAAGAGTTTCATCTAATGCACCTATTGCTCCGGAAAAAATCTATTTTAACCGTCTATGTCGTCCCGAGTTATGCCTTGTTGGATTAGGAGTTGTTGGTACTATAATTTCTTTTGCAAAACACATCATTGCAGTTAGGAACTCATGAAAACATTGATGAATCGTTTGTGTGGAGTGATGAAATCTTCCCTTAACCGTGCGAAAACATTCATTATGTCCTATAACATGTAATAACATAACCATTTTCTCTTCAATGCTTATTGTCCTACTAGCTTGCAACCATTTTTTTTGGGTAAAATGGTTGCATAATAATGCAAATGCCTCTTATGTAAGATGCATCATATCGTAACATTGTGTAGGGTCTCCGTATATTAAATCTTGCGTATATGCATACCCGCTTAAATTGTTATCTCTAATTCTATGAATTCTGATTAGCCTGCGCCGGTTTGACCTCAACCAATAAAACACAAGTAAAAGGAAAGCTACAAATTCACCATCGGAAACTATATTTGGCTTGTTACAAACAATTAAGTAACATGTTAAAGTTAAAAAAATTCATGCACCAAAAAAACTAGTAAACATCATCCAAAGTAACAAAAGTCATATAACAAAAAGTCATATTCAGTATCCAATAACATGTCATCCAAAGTAACAAAATTCATATAACAAAAAACTAGTAAACATTATCCAAATTAACATCCAAAAAAGTCATCAAACATAGCATCCAAAACTCATGCAAATAACAAAAAATCATGCAACAAAAAAAACTAGTAAACATCGTCAAAGGTAACCATACTTCCTACCCGCACCCATCACCCACGACTCACAACTAGTATGCAAAAGTCGTAACCAAACTTTCTTAACATCGGCACTTTCACCAAATAGCAAAAGAGCGGTCTTGTGCCTTTCATCTTCTTCTGCCCATTCCATTTTGTTCAACTTCTCCATACACGCATCAACATCCTTATCCATTTCACTTTTTTCAATTCTTTCATTTTTTTCCACTAACAACCTTGAAAGCTTGACAATCTCCTACTCAACTTATAATGCCCTTGCATCTCTTTTTTTCCACCAACTCTTTTGTTTCCACCAACTTCCTTATTTTTTGAACGCCCGAAAGATTCTTCACTTGCACCTACGTGTTGTGTTGAGGTTTCCATTGGAACATCATCATCAAAATCATGGGCACTAAACTCTTCTACAGGACGAGGGAGTGTAGAAGATGTCCCCCAACTTTGAAAGCCGGTTGAGGTCAAGCCTTCAAATAGTTGGGTGCAAAGATCAGGGAACAGCAGGGATTTAGTTTTCAAATACAACAAGAACTTGTTCAACTGTTTACAATTTTTATAAATATTGGTATTTGTTATAAAAATTATCATACTAGTACCTCTTCCTTCCATTGTTTATCGGTCAGATTAAATTTATTTTTTATAGGATCATATATATTGCCGGTTTTGTTTTTCAGTTTCACCCAAGCAACATATTTTGATTTGTAGTAGTCAAAGTGGTTTCTTATTTGCTTCTGATCAACATCTTTACCGTGTTCGTTTATCAACTTTTCGCGTATTGTCTTCCATGAACTTGCCTTAAGCCCAGAACTCTCACGACCATTAGTGGTTAGTTCATGGATACATGCATCAAGGAACGTTTTGTCATCACTCTCGTTCCAAACCAACATCCTAAAACATTAATATTTAAAGTAATTTATCATAGCTTTTATAAAGATCAAGAACAATTTTCAACCAATGAAGTCAACAACATCATCCTAAATAATAATAGCACAATTAAAGTAAAAAAAATTATGATTTGATAACTTATACACAAACAATTTCAGATTTCATAAAACATCAATATTCAAGTAATTCAAATCATGACAAAGGCATAAACCAAGATCCTAAAACGTAAATATTTAAACTAGTTTATCATAACATATATCAAGATGAAGATAAACGCCGAAATTGCTTTCAATTCACAAAAAATAATAAGCTAACAATTAAGGTCAACAGTATCAACATATACCTAAACAATTTCATAACATTTGGATTTTGATTTCATAATATAACAAACATAATTTCTTATTTTATAGCTTATAAACAAAAAAGAACTTCAATTTTCATATGTTGTACACAAAGAACTTCAAATTTCAGTTCTTATACACAAAGAACTATAAAAAAGAACAAAAAAAAACAACTTCCAATTCACATTCAGTTTCAGAATTCATAATATTAGAACAAAGAACTTCAAATTTCAG